TCTCATGAGAAATTTAAGTGGAGAAAACAATTTTAGTTATGATGAGATCACAAGAAATTTCCTGTATAGGTCAAACAGTAGAGCATGAAGCAAGCAACAAACGGCAATCTATTGGGTTCGATTTTCAGAGAATGCATGAACAGATCAAATGTATACCTTCAATTCAGGTACAAACATGCGCACACACACACACACACACCCACATACAGTACCCACATACAAGTAAAAAAAAAAAAAAAAGAAAAAACTATTTAAAAACTTTTCACCTGTATTTCAGTGAAATGTGGGCGTCATGAGAATATAAAGGCCATGATGACATATAAACAAACCACTGGTACCACTCTGACTCACAGAAGAAGATCTTCTCAACTCATTCTTCCTGTTAAACTCTTCAGGTTAACTTATTTGATTATTATGGATTTTATAGCATCGACATTTGAAAGTAGCTCAAAGTGGTATCCTACCTATGGTAGGTGATCATGAATTTGGTGATGTTCACTGCCACCTTACTTTAGCACAGTATGAGAGCCAACTAACCCAGACAAGATACAATACAAACTATATGGTATTATATTACTTGCTCAACAACGGATACTCTTCAGTGAATGGGTGCAGTCATAATGAGATTCCAAACGGCTGATAAAAACATCACAATAATCCACATGACTCCAGTACATCAATTATTGTGTAGTGAAGTGAAAAGCTGGGTGCTTGTAATAAACAAATTCATCATTTAGGCATTACTTGTGGATTACTGTGATGTTTTTATCAGCTGTTTGGACTCTCTCTCTGACGGCACCCATTCACTGAAGAGGATCCATTGATGAGCAAGTGATGTAATGCTAAATTTCTCCAAATCTGTTCCCATGAAGAAACAAACTCATCTACACCTTGGATGGCCTGAGGGTGAGTACATTTTCTGCAAATTTTCATTATTAGGAGAAATATTCTTTTAACTATTAAGACTTTTTTGACTGACCAATGTCACCACACCAGATATATCATGATGGTCAGCCAGTTTCACCAGGTATTTGGGAAGTTACACCAGTTTTCTCTATTCCTGTTTGTTTTTCTTTGCACAGTCAAAACTTCCATCGATAAACTGGAATCTACTGATCACGGAAAATGATCTCAGCACTGTTTGATTGGGTTCAGTGAACAGACGTTATGACAAGTCCAATGACTCATGGAAACTTCAGACCTAAATTCAGTAGTGCTCAAACCAATTCACTACATTTGTTCTTCAGAAACAGTCAAAAGAGGCAGTGAGTCATGACTTTAATTTCTATGAATATGGCTTTCCAATATGCTAAAAATAATAATATAAAAAAAAATATATGAAGAACACACACACATAATACTAGAGATGTCAAAAGTATCTGTACCTCTGTACCAAGTCAATACGAGTGCTTTCACAAACCTGAATATGTATCGTCCAGCCAGACGCAAAGAAAATGTTGGTACACTCCTATTGCAAAATGGTGCTATTTTTCTACTTCGATTTTTTTTTTTACTTTTACTTATTGAAGCCTGTTTCCACCATGGAATAAAGTAATTAAAAAGGTAATTGCAACATTTTATCTCACAGATCTTATATATATATATATATATAAACTCTGATAAAAAACCCAGAATTGCAAGATATACAGGGTTGCCAGGTCTGCATAACAAAACCAGCCCAATCATGGAATCATGGCCAAAACTAGCCCAATCACGTTCTGGGAGGAAATGACTATACATTGCATCAAAATCATGTTTGTTCCAAGGGGTCAAAACCACCTTCCAGGGGGTCCCACCTTGGACAAAATCGTGGTCCGGGGCAATGTTCCCTCTAAGCTGCGTGCGTGCATGGCCGCGCATATGCCGCTAACAGGACACATGCAAAAAACTGAGTTGGGAAAGCCATTTGATTGAATTCTAGCAAATGCAAAATAATTGCAATGCTCGGGCAAACCACTATAGAGTTGTTGTCGCTATAGAGTTAAAACCGGTGAATGTGGTTTACAGGTTTCATAGAAAGAGAATGATGTGTGCCAAATCAGTCGCTGTAGAAATTGAATACTTTAAAGTTTGCGGACAAAGTAGCTCAACACGAGAGCCAACGCAAACGTAATGACATGTGAAATAAAACATCATCATGTTTGAAAGAAGAGTGGCTTGATTAAATGGTGGAAACATTTACATTTAGTAATTTAGCAGACGCTTTTATCCAAATTGACTTACAAATGAGAACAATGGAAGCAATCAAAATCAACAAGAGAGCAAAGATATGCAAGTGCTATAACAAGTCTCAGTTAGCTTAACGCAGTGCAAGTTTTTTTTAATTATATAATAAATAAAAATAAAACAGATAGAATAGAAAAAGAATACAGCAAGCTAGTATTAGAGGCCTTTTTTGCTTTTGTTAATTGTATAATAAATAAAAATAAAACAAATAGATAGAATACAAAAAGATTTGAGAAGCAATTTTTTTAAAGAAAACAAGCAGTTAGTAAATGAATAGAGTGCAAGTCTAAAGGGGCAAGTTTTTTTTAAAGAATAGAATTCGAATAGAGAGTGCTAGACTTTGAGGGTCAAATAAAGATGGAAGAGATGTGTTTTTAGCTAATTCTTGAAGATGGCTAAGGACTCAGCTGCTCAGATTGAGTTGGGCAGGTCATTCCACCAGGAGGGAACATTTCATTTAAAAGTCCGTGAAAGTGATTTTGTGCCTCTTTGGGATGGCACAATAATGCGTCGCTCACTTGCAGAAAGCAAGCTTCTAGAGGGAACATAAGTCTGAAGCAATGAATTTAGGTAAAGGGGTGCAGAGCCAGTGGTGATTTTGTAGGCAAATTGAAGCATGTTCCAAAAGAAAGGGCCTGATCTTCGTGATGTTGAATAAAGCAAATCGGCAGGACCGGGCAGTTTTAGCAATGTGGTCTGAGAAAGTCAGCTGATCATCAATCATAACTCCAAGGTTTCTGGCTGTTTTTGAAGAAGTTATGGTTGATGTGCCTAACTGGATGGTGAAATTGTGATGAAACGATGGGTTTGCTGGAACCACAAGCAGTTCTGTCTTGGCAAGGTTGAGTTGAAGGTGACAGACTCGGTTGAATGTCCACTTCTGAAACACTGACTGGTTGCTGTCGAGGAGGTTGTTCTGTGTGAGAAAGGCAGAGACTTGGTTGAACACAGCTTGTTCAAGTGTTTTTGCAATGAAAGGAAGAAGGGAAACCGGTCTGTAGTTCTCTAAAAGAGACAGGTTAAGGGTGGGTTTCTTAAGTAGAGGGGTTATACGGGCCTGTCTAAATGTTGAGGGGAAAACACCAGTGTGAAGGGATGTGAAAGGAGGGAGGAAAATGTTTTAAAGAGCATGCAGCGGATGATGAGCACAGAACGGTAACAAAACTCCCAGACATTTACAGTCACACACAGGTGTAGTAAAGTGCAAACTCTACTACTCTAAACTCTACTTAGATAACTATATAAGAATTTACATGTTCACGTTTTTGAAAATATTTAGTTTACAGATCTGTTTAAATGCTTCAATTTGTTTTCTGTTCTATTCTATTCTATCAGTTTTAATGCTTCAGTTTGTTTTTATATTATAATATAAACCTAATAAATAATTGACCTCAAAAAGTGAATTCATGAGCAATATCTGCTTCATTTTTTATATGAGACATTATGTAATATTATATTATATGTGTTTTGTTTTTTTCTCATCCTGTGGACTAAGAAAACAGCCTTCGGCAATAGTATAAAAGTAGCCCAATTGACACTTCGCAGAGACCAGCCCCCCTTTGTTACTGTTGCTATGTCCGACAATCCACACCGCAGATCACGTTCAGTGAAAATTACATCACAGAGCAAAGAGGACACTGACAACACGCCGACAGACAAGACAGAGCAGGTTACTTTACATATAAATCAAAGACTCAGCTTTAAAATTTGTTCATTTATGAAATTCAAACAATAAATGCCATTTTGTGGCTCTTTAATGTGTTGTGACAGATCGCTGTAGCGCCTCAGTTCAAGCGACACGTGAACTGATCATCACTTTCTCTTTACTAGTTATAGCACAAAATAAACATGAATGAACATCAAAATGTATCTTGTTTCAACCACAGAAAGACGTCAATCCACCATTTTTTAAGTTCAAGTTCACCAACGTTAATCTACTCTCCTGTCTAGTTTGTTTGTCGGACAAAAATGGCAGATTCGGTGTTATGATTGGTCAGATCACCTGTCAATCAAACTTCCAGCGAAGGGTCAATTCTGTGGGAAAACCGCAGACTTGGAAACACTGTAGATATAAACTCAGAATTCAGACTTTTTTCTCAGAATTCTGGATTTACAACCCATTATCCTTTTTTTTTCATCATGCATTAAAAAATAAAAATGGTAATTGTGACTTTTTATCTCTTGTGTTTGTATTTCACAATTTGGATATTTCTTCTCAGAATTGTGAGTTATAATTCTCATAATTCAAAGTTTACTTCATAAAATTCTGTGTTCATATCTCGCAATTCTTTTTTTCTCATAATTGTGGGATAAAAAGCAGCAATTTGCAAAAAAAAATTCTTTATAAGTTTTTGTGAAATTAACTAGCAATATCTGAGTGAAAATTGTTTCACCAATTACTTTTCAGTGCAATGGTTTAACTAGTTTTACTTCAAGATCCAGATTCTACAGCAGACATTAAACGGCAGCCCAACACAGAACCAACATTGTGTACCAAACATTTAAATTTAAAGTATTACCATAAACCCCATCCAGCCCAGTGTTGATGTCATGCATTTTGCAAATGTAAATGCATTATTCAAATATAACCGTGCATTTGCAAATATAAGTTATTATATATATATATATATATATATGTATGTATATATAATTTTATTTTATGCTAATTTAATGGTTTTGTGCTCTCAGTAGCCAATATGTTGCTAGCCACAACAAATTGCAATTGACACAAACCATGTTTATCTTCAATGCAAGTGAATCCTGGAACGATGAGTATTCAGAGGACAGTAAATACTCAATGAGACACCTGATGACTGATGCCCATGTGATCTGGATGAAATTGAGAGGGTCTTTATCAGATCTCAGTCACACTTCCTGTTTTTGAAAGGGCGCAGACAGATTTCACAGATGATTCTGCAAAAATAAGAAGCAAACAATACACATTTTATAAGACGTTCAGATAGCGGACCGCAGCAGAAGTGAGAAACAGTTTACCGTTGCAATAGTGCTGCTTCCGGTCTGAATGGGGGAAACTAAGTGCGTCTGGCTGCTTGATTGTCACGCAAAGGCCCGGCTAATCATCACTGCACCGTTGGGCCCTCAGACGCAGAAACAGGAAGTGAGCAGGCGACAGAGGAAGTTGTTGGTTTTTTGATGGCCATTGCCGTGGTTTTCAGACTTCTCTCACAGAAGGGGGGGACAGTCAGATGTTCAGCGTGGGAAAAGACGAGACGGTCCTGTTAATCCTAGGAGAAATTTCAACAAGCAGACTTCATCCTGTCATTTACTGCCCTCTCCAGCAAAACATAGGATTCATTGAACAGGATCATTTAAATGTCTGGCTCTTCATTGCATTCTGCATTTAAAGTTTACATTAGAGTTAATTAGCTTGTCAGAACCTCATATAATATTTGTATAATACTTTAAACCTTAAAGCCTAAATATGATGTTTTGCATGTTGATTGTCACGTGTACGTTTCTGTCTAGTTCCTGTCTGTCCTTATTTGGTTCTTTTCCTGTTCTCATTATTTAGTTAATCATCATTCATTAGTTTCCACCTGTGTTAATCAATCATCTTATTAGTCTATCGTTTGGTTCAGTATAAATAGCCCTGCCTTTCCTAAGTTTCTTTGTCCTGTCTCTGTCGTTGAAAGTGATTGTTTTCTACATTTCTCTCCAGTGGATTTATTAAAAGACTTTGTTTGTTGTACATCTGCCTCCTACGAACTCCTTTGCCTGGCAAACCCTGACATTGATATGGCAAAAAAAAAAAGAAAATTTATCATTGAAATTAGAAGAGTAGTCTAGAAAGGATCCAAATCCAAATGAAACCCAAATTAAATGATTTACTCCCCCTCATGTTGTTCCATGTTTTTCTTTAAGAAAACAGATGGATTTGAAATGATGGTGAAAAGTAGGTTTGTTATAATCTCTGACCTAGAAATCACAGAAATAGTATTTTTACGGCCTGGAAGTTGTGGACTTAATTACAAAAATGAATAATAAAATAAGTTATGTAAATTAATAAGTCTGAAAAGTCATGGAAATTCTATAGTGAACACATTTTTATAGTTATGCTCTGCTGTAAAACAGTTAATTGCCTACATATAGATTTTACAAGACTTGCTAGCCATTGGTTGAAATGGTTCATGAGTTGTTCTGAGTGGTTCATTAGCGAATCACTTTGCATCAGAAAGATTTGAAATTGCTGTTGCTCAAAAAGTGAAATGTGGCACCAGCAATGGCAAGGACATGGGTTTGATTCCCTTGGAATGCATGAACTGATCAAAAGTATATCTTGAATGCAATGTAAGTGTCTGCCAAATGCATATAGGTAAACTAAATCCTTATCCATAGACCTTTGTCAGGGTAGCATGTACTGTATAGTGCATTAAATGGATTGTACTGCTGTTTGTTGTTCAGCTGATGAAACAAAATTTCAGTAAGCAAAAACTCCATAAAACAGTTTTGAAAGTTGTTTAAATTACATGATCTAGGACCTTTATACAGTTTGTGCCATTATAATGATTACGAGTGATAGATGAAGTCTATCCCTCACAGCCTCATTTTCATGTGTGTTAAATTCAGTATGGCATATAACCTGATTAAGGTCTGTTGAGCACACACAACTGGAAAGGTCATGGAGGCCAAAAAGTGTGGGAACCCTGGAGTAAATAATAAATAAATTTTAATTATCAAGAGATTTACTCTTATACATCAGACAAAACAGACCATATATCAGAACATAAACAAAAAAAAAAAAAGTAAAGCTTAAAACATCATTTTGCAGGATCATGCCAACAGCAAATCAGAATCAAGCCAAATGATACTATTATTGCACTAGTACTAGGTGAATGTCATCTGAAGAAACCAGAGCTCCCACCACAGACCAGTCACCTTCCTGCCCTGTGATACCACACTTCACCATAGACAGGACAGGTCATGACAGGACTGGAGGATTAGTTATGACTTTAAGTCTATATGAAACTAAGAAAGGATAAATCGAAATCGCAAAAAGTAATTTAAAGCAAATCTGTTACTTACAGTGTAGTTTTATGACATGGAAGGCCACTATGACTCTGAGATAAATCATTTCAGTCTGAGCTTCTCTTGTGGCCAAACACTGATCTGCTGACTTGTGCTGGAAAATCCTGAGAATTTCCATATCCACTTCCTTGTACCATTCTCAAGGAACTGATAATGCTGAGATTAGTGTTCAAAATATTTTCCTTTTCAGGTGATTTTAGAGCACCTTTGCAGATCTATTTGTGGATTTTTTGGGATAGATATATACTGTACATTCACTTTCTATACTAAAAAAAAAAAAATAGTTACACTATCGTTCATAAGTTTAGTGCTGGTAAGATTTTTAAATGTTTTTCAAAGAAGTCTATCATACTCACCAAGGCTGCATTTATTTGATTACAAAATACAGTAAACCAGTAATATTGTGAAATATCATTACCATTTAAAATAACTCTTTTCTATTTGAATATATTTTAAAATGTAATTTATTTCTGTGACACAATGCTGAATTTTCAGCACCATTACTCTAGTCTTCAGTGTCACGTGATCCTTCAGAAATCATTCTAATATGCTGATTTGCTGCTCAAGAAACATTTCTGATTATTATCAACGTTGAAAACAGTTGTGCCACCTAATTTGTTTTTTGTTTTTGTGGAAACTGATACTTTTTTTTTTTTGGAATTCGTTGATGAATAGAACATTTAAAAGAGCAGCATTTATTTGAAACAGAAATCTTCTATGAGATCATAATTGTCTTTACTGTCACTTTAAATTTAAAGGCAGAGTAGGGGATTTGGTTCAAAACCTTTTTTTTTTACGCTGGTTGAAAGTCTCTTCAAATCCCGACAGCAATCATTAAGTTAAATGGTCTATTTATATGTATTTATATAGTCTGTGGAAGACGTAGGCCCATAATATGTTCGTCCAATCATATTCTTCGGTCCGAGGGCTAAAATAGGCTGTCCTACCTGCCTGTCAACGTATGTATTTGCATACCTTCACACACCCTGTTTACGCAGACATGATACGTCATCAGCGCTTTCCAGTTCGCTATTGCAGACCGAGCGAGAATGGAGGCGTTATTATTGTAACATTATGCACTTTGTACTGTAATGTTTTCCCACTGGTGAATGAGACATGAGGTAATCTGACAGCGTAGCATTCAACCCTTTACCAACGCCGTCTCTCATCATGTCGCTGCTTAGCCTCTGGTCTGCCTTTGAGCGTTCATGTGTTTTGAAGGAGGTGTGGCTTTGGAGACTGATTTGCAGGGAGAGTGGGATTCTTATGCTTTCAAAGCTAGCTTGCTATTGTTAGCCTCTCCGAAATCACCTACCCTACCTTTAATGCATCCTTGCTCAATAAAAAAAAAAAAAGACAAGTCAATATGTGCAACAAATCTTGCTCTCTGTCATAGCGTGCAGCATCAATGTCAAACCTAGCACAACGGTTTTTGATGCAGCTTAAACTGAATGACATTTGAGCGCTACAGCCTGGGTGAAGAAACAGAAGAGTTTTAACACCAAAGCTGAGGTCGTGTCTAGGTGTGCTCTTTTCAGACAGATGGTATTGAGAAATAGATGCTGTAATTTCACAAGTGGCAAGATGGTATCAGTGATATCACCCACAATAACCCGATCCCAGCTTTATGAATCTACAGCTGTTTGCCACACGCTCCAGCAGATGAGGCCTGTGGTGACCATTCGACAGATTCAAGACGGTGTAGTGGCTGCACTCGGGTTGTCAAAAGCCACTCTCCTCTCAGCGATTTCGTTCACCATACGAGGAAGAAACAGAGGCCCTTTACTTCATCTGTGTGATGAGGTTTCGGTGTGTTTACAGAGATGTGGAAAGCCTGCTGTTACTGAGGGTAAGTGCCACAAACCAAGGTGAGGCAGGTTTTCGAACACTCAGAGATAAGAGTAACAGGGATTGCATTTGCTAACCATAAAAGACTTACGATACGACATAAAAACAACCACTGAACATGATGAGAAGTAAGTGTAGAGGTGGTTCGGGCCGCACCCTTCCTCCGTTAACCAACAAGAGCACCTTTCCTCACCACAGTGGTGGACATTACTGTAGATTCACCCACAGATCATCCCACGACTGGTTCACGGATTGTCTGATGCCAATCGCACACTAATATGGTAAAGTCTGATCTGATAGGCTGACTTTCAGAAGTCAAGATCCACAGGATTTTGATCGTCCCATTGGGAAACAAAGGCTGCGGCCAAGCCAAGCCAACCTCGAGAAGCTGCAATAATTCATACAAAACGATGAAAAGAAATTTGTGGGTTGTACACAAATGAACAATTTCAATCTAAACCTAGAGTCCAATCCCTTAGCCAAACTATAAACTTAACCATGACTGTAATACAGCAGTTCTCAAACAGGGGGCCTCAAGATGACTTGAAGTGATTTAAAATAAGACCTACTTTTGGATAAATGAGGTAACCTAATTTTTGTTGTGGACAATGTGGGGCCTTAGAGTCAAAATGGTCAAGAACCACTGCTCTAATAGGGGAAAAAGTAAGTTGCATGATTTTTGGGTCTTGTATAAACTGTGTTGTTGTCAAGAAAGTGTGTTTGTCCAAACCGAAAGACAACATACCTAGAGTAGGCATTAAGACATGTCCGTATTCAGTGTTTGTGTAACATCCCGTCTGCAAAGATGTCATCATCTGGTTGTTTTTAAAGACAGTGCAGATGCTTCCTTCATGCTTTCGATATCCCACAATTCTGTGTCTGCAGACTGCCGGTTAAAGGAAGTAAAAAAGGCGTATGAGTAAAGTAAATGAATTCATAAAATTTCAATTTTTGGTATTTTATTGGGGAAATAACAAGAATAAGATGAGTTTGGTCTGGTTTTCTGGGATTTTAAAGGGGTCATATGATGCGATTTCAATTTTCCCTTTCTCTTTGGAGTGTTACAAGCTCTGGGTGCATAAAGAAGATCTGTAAAGTTGCAAAGACTAAAGTCTCAAATCCAAAGAGATATTCTTTATAAAAGCTAAAATTTTTTTTTTTTTTTATTATTTTTTTAGACATAAACTAGCAAACAGATGACCTCAAAGCTAACAGACCAATGTTGCTATTGCTAACATATATTAAAATATTAATATTATAAAATATAAATATGAGACAGAACTTAACCAGAAAACTTAAAAAAAATGAAATAAAACTATTGTTACTAAACTTACACTAAACACATTTTAACAACAAAAACGAATACAAATGCACATAACAAAAGTAAATAACTAAAATGTTTACTAGAATTCAAATGAAAACTGAAAATAAAAAATAAACGCTAAATTAAAATAGTAATATATAAATAAAAGTAAAATAACAGACATGAACTAAAAGCCACTAAAAGATCTCACTATTGGAGTGAGATTTAGACTGCATGGAAATATACTATATGAAATAACTAATATCAG